AGCAAAGTTACTTTGGTACCGCGCGACAACATGGCCCTCCGTGTCTCCTCCCTCCCCCATGGATAATTATTGTGTGCGGGCGGGCGCGCATCGATAAAGTAAAACCAATTAATCGTGATTGAAGTTGTCGGACGAACGACAGAGATAGAACGGGAGGGGGGAGGGAGGGGGGGGGGAGGCGCGCTTCTCCGATTATTTTCGCCGGTCCGGCCAAGCAAGGCAGACGTCCGCGACGCCCCGACGACGTGTTTCATCGCGCTCTAGAAAAGTTTCCTGTTTTTAATTACGTCGAGCGTGTGCCTGCCAGTGGAACCCGGGGCCCGGTGTTTACCGAGAAACCGAAAATAAATGAAGCGAGAAATAATCGAGGCGACTCTTCTCTTCCTGCCGTGGCCACAGATGCATATATATATATATATATATATATATATATATATACACATACAAAATTGTAAAGAAAACAACAATTATCTTCCCCCGACCTGAAAAATAAACACACAGACTTGTTCGGCCTTATCGAACAAACTCATCGAGCCAGGGAAATTAATTTTGTAATTTCTAATTTCTCTAAGGCAGATCTCCCGTGACCATGTTTCATGTCCTTCGTTACCTTTGCATCTTCTATTGTAGTCACACCGGACTACCAATTCCAAGACTCGTCGTGCTCGACGCTCAATTCTAAGGCTCGGTAAATGACTTTATTGCAACTTTTCTACGACATCCATAAGTCCAAGACATATTGCGAGAGACACATCCTGGGACCGTTAGAAAGTGCAAATATTTCTTTTTGGAACCGACCTCGCTCACATCTGCTAGCATACCTCCCTAACTCCCGTAACCATAGAATCCACAGCTATGTAAGACCAACGCACAAGGGAAACGGGACAGTTAATGTTTTGGCAATCGCACAGTGCGCACAGAAGTTCCGGAACAACCCATCGACGTACGACAGGTCACGGCTCGACTATCAAACTCACTCAAATTTTATCATTTACGAGTTCAAGCTCCATCTTACGACAATCTACATTCCTCAATCCTACCAATCCAACCCTAAACCAACTCTATCTTGAACCAGCTGACTTTCATTAACGTTGAAAGACAGCAAGCCACCGATCTGCTCAACGCTACTTATACGTCGAGATCAGATCGACACGCAACAGACTCTGTTCTTTTCTTCTTCTTTTTTTTTTTTTATTCAAATTGGCCATCCTTCCTTGCCCCTTTTTACCATTGAAACACCGTCAACACCGAGATCATCTCCTCCATTGTTAGTGAAAATGTTAGCGAGAATATCGTCCGATATTCGTTTCGTACGGTGACACCTAAAAATAAGCGAAATTTCATCGATAAAAGATTGATTCACGAAGCGACGGAAGGTCGAATCGGTGGGCCATTTTTACAACGCTCAAGTTATTTCGCTGTCTTTTTCGCCATATCGGAAAACCGTAGTCGGCCATAATCACGTGACTATTATCCCCCGCCGGTTAAACGCATTAGCAAGGTCGCATAGCTGGAATTTTCAGCCGGCGATTTCACCTACACTTTAAAATGCGTGGCCGCTCGCATCGCGAGCAAGTAGATCGTGATTGATCGTGATATATTTCACGCGTATTCGCGTTCGCCGAACGGCGTGCTTTACTCCTGATTGCAGTTTGCTCGAGCGAATTTATCGCCGGATGGCTGCACTCTTCTTTATGAAATTGATTAACATGACTCGTCCGTGTAGCCTTTTGTTCTTCGACTGTTCGTGCGCGATTGGGAAAAAAAAGAAAAAAAGAAAAAAAAAGAAGAACATCAAACACGGTTTTTCTATCGCCTGATCGACAATAGCCTGGCGAAGCTCGTGAATCGTGATACGTCGAGAGCCCCACCTATCGACTATTTTTACCGGCCACTTTAGCGGTTGTTCTAACGTCCACGATCGTGGCCAAAAATCGTTGCCTCTTCCAAGTTTCTTCATTCATCCGTCGGATCTCTTTCTAATATCTTTTCTTTCTTCTCAGCCGTAAACTTTTTACGTTGCACGCATTTACCGCTGAGTAAATTGGTAAAATCGACATAGATCGAGTTTGTCGCGTCGGTCGTTTCCCCGATTACCAATTAAAACGATCTCTGCCCGGAGAAACGGTTTAATGACTCGCTGCTCGATCATGCGTGCACGCGCGACTTCTGTCCACGACGCACAGCGTAGGATCTCGTAATTCTTTGCATTCACCTCCGAGCATCCTTTCAACTCGATCGCCCGTTCCTTTTGCCTCCTTTGTTTCTCCCCGTGCTCTTTCTTTTCTTCCCCTCTTCTTTATCTACCTTTTGTTCTTTTCCTCTCTCATTCTCTCAACCGCTTTTTTCCTTTTCTTTTTACCATCCCACCATTCACATTTTTTCCATCGAGAGAGTGGGGCTAGAAGCTCGCGTTAATTCGTTCCGCCTCTAGATGTTCCGGGTCATTTTCAATTATACTCGGCGAGAGATCTCTCGACGGCAAGGATCGAGCCGCGAAGCCGATCAAGCGCTGATAGAACGCAAAGTGCAAGCCAGGCGATATTTCACGCCAGATAGCGCGGCAGCTTTGTAATCGTTTTTGTTGCATCGATGCGTGATTTAATTCAGGAGAGATACTGCTTTGAATTGGTTGATCGGAAATAGATTTAAAAAAAAAAAAAAGATGAAAGATGAAACATTCGTGGGAATAATCGAGCGTGTTTGAGAAACGACAATTCCAACTGGACATTGGCAAAACATTGCTCTCGATTGTTTCGAGGATCATGGATTCCACGTTGTAACGAACGGGTATAGAGTATCATCATCGCGGAAGTTCGCTTTAATAAGCAAATAGCGACATTGGTTTAACGTCACGACCTTCTACATTAATTATCTTACCCGATGGCACACCGTATTCTGAATACGATTCAGAAAGTTGCAAAAGAATGTCGTCGAATGATCGTTAATTTTTATTTATCGGTTCGGTGCATCCTACGGATTCTTAGTCGAATCTGTAACTCTGTTTATCCGACGTATCGCTCGTCTCAGTCCAATTCACGGACCGCACCGCGGAGAACAATTTTCGATCGTTCAGTAACAAAATTAGAGAATAGCAACTTGCAGAGAAGATTCATTACCTGATCTGTCGCGACCTGCGACTATTTTCTTTTGCATTTGCCATCAAAGGCCACGATGATGAATGAGGGAACAAGTGGCGATGCGAGTTTAAAGTTCACCACCTAGGTAAATCAATATCTTACGAGCAAAAAGAGAGAAATAGGCAGAGAGAGAGAGAGAGAGAGAGAGAGAGAGAGAGAGAGAGAGAGAGAAAGTGGGGTTGACGGATGAAGAGAAAAAGAGGAAAGCGAGAAAACGCAGTTCCCTGTGTGCTCTGCTGCCCCCTGTCCTCCTTTTCTATCGCACCGATGAATGAAATCTCCATCTAACGTGGTGGAGAACATTCAACCCCTCGAGTAGACACGCTAATAGACCTTGGTAATTTATACCGCGAGGTAGCTATTTTTCTCGTTAAAAATTCTCGATAAAGTGCAACCGTGCGATTAGATGTCGTTTCATCATCTCTCGACATGTGATTTTCCTAACCTCCTACAAGAAAACAAATCTTATTTGCCCTGTCTCTCTTTAGCCGTAGCTTCCCTTCTTCCGTTCATTGATATTCTTCTTTGAATATCGATTTATGTGTATTCCCTTGCTGTGGCAGCTGACATCGCGATCGCGCATCAATTATGCAAAGGTATTAAATTAGGTCAAAACTTCGCTGTGACGTGTTTAAGCAAAACGAATTTCCGTTTTCGTAGTGCTTCTGCATGTTTTTGGGGAATTGTAATAATTTTATGATATTTTATGACTCGAGTTATCAACGACGAATAAAAGAGGTTTTTTTTCTATTGAAATTTTTAACACGTGCCATTAGACAAACTATAGGTTAGGTGCTTGCTTCATCAAGTAACAAGACATCATAGATGCTTTAAAAATAAACGTTGACTTGTGCGCGAGGCAAGCGTTATTCTCAAGGTGAAGTAAATTAGCAACAAAATGGGTAATTAACGATTAAAATTGACACCAAGGCAAGACACCGGGTAATATAAAGTGGAAAATCAAATATAAGCGACAGATAAATAAATTCAGTTTATGAACCCTCTACTTTTTCTTAAAATGTACTTGTCGTACAACGTGTTCCAATGTTATCAGGTGATTGGCAATTTATCAAGAGTAAAAACTTAAAATGGGACAGCGCTAAGGAAAATTGTAATTTATCACATTTTGCACAAAGAAATGAGCTTGAACGTGTTTAACCTCGACATTTCAAATACCGCTGCTGTGGTGGCAGGGAATTAAAAAAAAAATCACTGTAGCGCGTGAATGCTTCTTAAAGATATTATTACATTCTGCTTACAATGCTGCCAATATACGATTACGTATATACCGCGTAGCGCGCGCGTTTAAACCATAACTTCGCACTCGACATAACCTCAACTGAGATATCGAACAATTTGCCGGTACAATGACAAAATAGGAATCTATGGTTACATGCTCGCAACCGAGAAATACATTAAATAAATGTCAAAATACGATTACTATTTTCCATTTGTTTTTTGTTAAAACTCTTTTTTTATGTTTGCTTGCTAGTAAGAACCTTTATTCCAATCTTTTGCTTTGCGTTAACAGATTAAAAATTTAGAGAAAAATTAATTTGAAGAAGAAAACAAAGATAGAAAGCTCGATTAAATATCTGTTGACCAAATCTGTTTAGTAAAATAAATTTAATCCTAGTGGTGTTTTGATTTCTATCTGGTCGAAGCATTTGAGACCAATTTCGAAAATTAATCAAAAGTAACTTTTCAGGGTTTACTAATCCTGCAAAAGGATTGATAACGATATAATAACGATATTGATGATTGTAATTTACGATCACATATGATATAACTGTATCAATCAAATTTGCAAATTTTTATAAAAAAAAATTTATGTTGCGTCGAATTCAAATGGATTATTGAAATGTTGCAGATGTCACACCATCGGAGCAAGAAGATCTGTTCATCCGAAAACTTCGGCAATGTTGCGTGACCTTTGATTTTATGGATGCTATGGCGGATCTCAAAGGCAAAGAAATTAAACGAAGTACACTCAATGAATTGGTTGAATACATCACAGCCGGACGAGGTGTTCTTACAGAGCCTGTGTATCCTGAAATCATTAAAATGGTAAATGCGATGTAAAAGTAACATTTGCATCTGAATTGATGATTTAATTCCCAAAATATTTTCTATGTAATAATACGTTTGTTAAAGATTTCTGCAAATCTGTTTCGCACATTACCACCTAGTGAAACACCTGATTTTGACCCAGAGGAGGATGATCCGACACTGGAGGCAAGCTGGCCCCATCTGCAATTGGTTTACGAGTTCTTTTTACGCTTTCTTGAATCCTCAGATTTTCAGCCTACTATTGGCAAGAAAGTTATTGACCAAAAATTCGTTTTACAGGTACAATTAGCAATTTATAATGCATGACGCTATATATTTGTATATTTATGTACAAATTTATTATTTGTATATATTTATTTGTTATGTATTTGTGTGTATATATATTTGTCTTCTGTTTATAGTTATTAGAGTTATTTGATTCTGAGGATCCCAGGGAAAGAGATTTTTTGAAAACTGTTTTGCATCGTATTTATGGGAAGTTCCTTGGTCTTAGAGCCTTTATACGTAAACAAATCAGTAACATTTTCTTGAGGTATATATGAATACAGTAACAAAATTCATACGATACAAAGATAAATATGTATACAATAAATTTTTCCTTTAACTACTTATTTTTGTAGGTTTGTATATGAAACGGAGCATTTCAATGGAGTTGGTGAACTTCTTGAAATTTTGGGTAGCATTATAAATGGATTTGCTCTTCCTTTAAAAGTTGAGCACAAGCAGTTCTTAGTTAAGGTACAAAAAAATTGTTGAATTATTATTATTATTACTTTTAAAATGCATTTCAAAATCTTTGTGATTTATGTTTTACTGCTCTGTTATAGGTGCTGCTACCACTACATAAAGTAAAGTGCTTATCATTATATCATGCACAATTAGCTTATTGTGTGGTACAATTTCTTGAAAAGGATGCAACCTTAACAGAGCCTGTTATACGAGGCCTCCTGAAATTCTGGCCTAAAACGTGTAGCCAGAAGGAGGTAATGTTCCTTGGTGAAATTGAAGAAATCTTGGACGTGATAGAACCTAGCCAATTTGTTAAAATACAAGAACCTTTATTCAGGCAAATTGCACGTTGTGTGTCCTCGCCACACTTTCAGGTATTGGATACTAACTTTTAAAGCATAAGATATCAATAAGATACAGTAACATTTTTTTAAATAATAAGATTAATTTATGTATATAGGTTGCTGAAAGAGCATTGTACTTTTGGAATAACGAGTATATAATGTCCCTAATTGAAGAAAACAATCATGTAATAATGGGAATCATGTTCCCAGCATTGTATAGAATTAGCAAGGAACATTGGAATCAGACGATTGTAGCTCTTGTTTATAACGTTTTAAAAACATTTATGGAAATGAATAGCAAGCTGTTCGACGAACTTACTGCCAGCTATAAGTCTGAAAGGCAAAAGTAAGTTGCTTTTCATTTTATGGAAACTGAGATAACTGTTACAAGAATTCTTCTTTCTGAAAAACAACCAAACACGTTAGTAGCTTTTACATTATGTATAGAAATATTTTGTAATATCAGGGAGAAAAAAAGGGAAAAGGAAAGGGACGAATTGTGGAGGAAGCTAACCGAATTGGAAGTAGAACGACGTAATGTGCTTACAGCTACCTTCAACAATCCTCTTCCTGCCACGACAACACCTACAACACGAGCCCGCCCTTGAGCTGGTGAGTAACTAATATTTATTGGATATATAAATGTGTAACATATTCAACGAACGTATTATCATTACAGGTGGAAATTCACTCCCAAGCTGCCCAATCATTAGCCCTTAGTTTACGTCGATTGTCCATACACTACATGCAAAAATTACTGTTGTTAGTGGAGCAGTGTCTCACAATGGCATTCTTGACGTAATGTAATTTCTTTCATTAGTTACTAGCCTAAAGGGCGAAGTGGAGAAGAGAAAAAAAAATAAGGAAGAATCAGTAATCACAATTTTATTCTTCTTCGACGCAATGATAATTGATGAGTTCTAATATTTTTATTGTGTATATTAATTTCTACTTTTCTTTTTTCCTTTTTCTTTAAATAGCAATGAATTAAGTTGTACAATGTACTCAGTGTCAGCACATAATACGATGATGTTAGTCCCTTCTTAACTAAAGTTTAGCTGCGCTCGGTAGGAGGAGACGATCAAGATGTAAATTCAGATAGACAAAGTATATTGTTATAATATTAATTTTTGCATGTGACATTTGCTTCAGTTTTTAAATGGCTGATGTCCTCTCATGACTGACCCACCTTACTTTGATTCTCACCTCCAACAGAGCCAGCAGGGGCGTTGTTTGAAATGTATCATATATTCGTATTAATGATAATGATAACTATAACAAAACATAATAAAATTAGGTAAATATATAAATATATACATAATACAATATATTATAAAAATATAGTACTATTGACGATACAAGTTACACATTCACACATACACGAATACATCAAACTGTGGTAAATACGTGTAACGTACAGATCGATGTGCTACAAATACTAACATTGTGCTGACTGCATGCCCGCAGCAAATGGAGTAAATTTTTTCAAAGAAAGAGAGCCGTAACGGTATGCTCGTCGCATATCGAGAATAATATTGAATAATAAAATTCAATTCACTGAAACAAAAAAACAAAAAAAAAAAAAAAAAAAAAAAAAAAAACGTAAAAAATATGTTGTTTTTTAAATAAAAAAAATAAATAAAAAAATAAAGATGCGAGGGGCAAGTATACAATAAAAAAAATTTAATTGTACCAAAATATCCATTGCTTATAAATATAATAAATAATAGAGATACAATGCATAAGATTTATTCGGAGCTGTGCTCCCACAGGCCACTGCAAAGACGTGGGATCGTTTTTAAAGTTTCTTACCATTGCATAATAATGATAAACAATAGTAGCTCTTAATAAATAGATGGTTAACAAATGAGTGACAGCTTGCTCATATTTTCATGAAGTAGCTGAGAAACACATCTAACATATTTGTTATGTTTTACTTTCCATTCTTTTTATGTCAACTATGTTTTACCTCATCTCATAGCATACAATTTGTTTACATTGTATACTATTTATCTCCACTTCATGAAAATTAGTTCAAAAATAAATTGGAATATATAATTATTGTAAATGTTGTAATGTGACTCAAAACAAACAATACGGATAAATTCATAAGAGTTCTATATACATAAATAGACACTTTATTAAATGAATGTCTAATTTATTTCTACTCTCTAATTTTTTTAAGCGCTGCTTAAATCAAATATCAATAATCAATTGTGTAGATTATTAAAAATATTTTGTCGTGGCCTATTTTCTTCTTCTTTCTTTTTTCTGAGATTTGCAAGTATCCATCCACACATCTTTTTTCGACAGTAATAAAGAATTTTGATAATTATTGTGTTTGGGCTAACTTAGTTTTTAGTACATTTCCAAATATACTACAGTAAGAAATTCTAATGACGTACATATTAGTATTTTTTTATATCGTAAAAAAACTGCATTTGTATGACAGCATGACAAGAATTGGATACAAAATCATTGCAAATACGTACTTCCATACTTTGCGGCAAAGAAAGAAACAAATATAATCAAAAGGTTAGAACAATAGGAGATCCTACGATTACAAACGCGAGCTACACTGTGATAGTCTATCATACATATTTATCGTTACAACGCAATCATTAGCGATTGTATTAGTTTTCTTTTCTTGTGCAAATTACAAATGAACAACCTCAATATATACGATTAGTCCGAATTATAGCGGATATATGATTTCATTGTAAATAGACTTATAGGTATATACTTCAGATACTCATATTAATCACTGTTAGAAACATAACAGTTGTACAGTTGATTTTAGAATGTAAAAAGAGTAACATAAATGAAAGTTGATTAATTTATCCTTGTCATATTACACATAAGAATGGTTAGCTATTCGTATAATAAATTTAAGTGCAGTAATTGAATAAGATTAATAATTATTTATACTCTAAAATAGCTGTTGCTTGAAAAGAAAAATACACGACTAGAATATTCTAATGTAAGCAAATTTTTTTTTTAGCTTGAAAAATAAAAAGAAATTAATATGACACATGTTATAAAAAAGAAATACAAGATGCTATGAACGAGAAAACATTCGATTATTTTTAAATGATAACAAAAATACTTTGTCAAAATTTATCAGATACATTTTGATAGTTTATCCTTTATACATTCACCAACAGTTTAAAAGAAATATATATTTTTTACCATACAATCTCTAAAAATATTCATGCATGAATATCGAAAATACAGCAAGATTTTATTTCATTATATACAACAAAGTTCTTATTTGAAAAGAGGTATCCGTATAAATACAATAATGATGCAATAAAAGTTAAAAGGATATATTACTTTATTATATATACATAATACCTATATACATAACTTATATACCTAGCGAAAAAATGTACAATATCGATCTTGTAAACAAATGAATATATTGTCTAAGTTATTTTGTTGCATAATATACTATTGACACATTGAGATAGGTTATGAAAATAAATATTCTTAAGTAAAAATAGAACATAGCATAAGACGTAATACACAATTCTTACCTATTGTGTATTATATATCTACACAAATACAAAAAAGATTTTTAAGTCATATAACTAAATGAATTTCAAATTTATTCTTTGTTGTCACTGACTTGTAATTACTAATTTATGAAATTTTATTGAATTCACGTTCTGGGAATATGTCAAGTTGACAATTTGTTGACAGGTAAACAAGATGGACTGCTGTAAATCATTTTCGAAGCATTAAATACGTACGTACGATTAATTTTTTCGAAATTTTTCGATCTCGTACAGTTAAAAAGAAAGAAAGAGAAAATTAATTAGGAAACAAAGAAGAAAATGAAATTTAATGTTTTGATACACCTAATGCATGTTCTCGCTCGTTTCTTACGAACGTTCGTAACGTGAGTGAAAAGATATATGCATGTGTCAAGAACGCGACTTAATAAAATTTAAGTTATATCAAGTCAAGCAAATTTATAGGAACGTGTAAAATGGATAATTTTTCATCTTTAAGCACACTGTTATACGTTCGAAATACAGTTTTACTAGCTCTGTGGACGTAATATACCTGTAGGTTATAAATATCGAAGATTTATCGATTTATCATTTGATCAAGTATTTATCATTTGATCAATTATGTTGTCCCGGAAAAATAAGGATTTAAGGACAATTAAAGAGGGTGTTGTTGGTAAATATGTTAAAAAAGAAACTCCGCCTGAAATGCCAAGTAAGTTATTGTTGTTGTTGTCACAAATAATGTTCGAGAAAACAAAACCATTTTGCACGATTGTCCAATCTCTGTGTTTTTCTCCTTTAATATTTTTTCAACTTTTCAGTTGTTTTCAATTGTTTATTTATTATCGTGGCATTATAAAATACAATATATATTCATTCTTCTCTTCATTTTTTTTTTACAATTATTGTTGACTTTTAGTTATTAATGTATGGACAACAGAACCAAATAGAAGGACAAGGAATCGTAATAATCATCCAACTATTCCTACATCCATGGTAAATAGGAACTGCGTATATTATATTTCTGTAGATGAATAAAAACTAATTTTTACGTAGTCCATACCACAACAACCCAGTATGGTACAGAAGTTTGGAAACACTAAGACAACTATGAGTGCAGTAGGTTTAGGAAGTCACGAAGGAAAGTATACTCCGAATAGTTCTGTTCCGGATTTAGCTCAAAGGTAATTTATGCCCCCGGTCATATATATATATATATATATATATAGTCAAAGTATATTTAAAGTCAAAATATAACTTGCAATTTGTTCCTTTAGATTTGCCAGTCTTTCTGTCAATACTAGTACAAGGGATGGGATGTCATCTCGCACTGCAACTCCAATGCATCATTCTGGACCTTCACCCGCTATATCTCATACTTATGTTAATCAATATGCCGGATCCGAGTATCATTTAGATAGGGTTCAAACACCGCAGATGCCTTACAAGTCTTTTGACATTGATTCAGGTTACGATGAGTACAATCACTCTCCATACTGTCAAAACACAGGGTAAAGAAGCATTATATTCAGCATTGTCTAGGATTGTCCAGATATTGCATGTTATGTTATGGTTTATATTTTAAAGATATAGTCGTTGCCAATCAGAAAGATCAAGTTCTAGGAACGAACAGCAAGAAGAACTTCCTTTACCCCCTGGATGGTCTGTGGATTTCACTCTTAGAGGTAGAAAGTACTATATAGATCATAATACAAAAACCACTCATTGGTCTCATCCTCTTGAGAAAGAAGGTTTGCCTACGGGCTGGGAAAGAATCGAGTCACCTGAATACGGTGTTTATTATGTTAAGTAAGTTTCATAAAAATTAAAAATTTAAAGTATATGTTACAATTTTGATAAAAAAATATATCGTATTGTTTTTAGCCATATTACGCGACAAGCACAATATGAGCACCCATGTTATCCTCATGAGATACAAGCAGTGCGCGTTGTGTCACCTCCGCGCCACACGCATTTTCACTCTCACAGTGTTTTAGTTCCAGCGAATCCTTACCTTAATGAAGAGATACCTCATTGGTTATATGTATACAGTAGGGCGTCAGTAGCATTGGATCGCAAACTGCGATGGGAACTTTTTCGTTTGCCGGAACTTGATTGTTTTAACGCCATGCTTACTAGATTATATAAGCAAGAATTAGAGGAGGTAGTCATGCGTTATGAAGAATACAGGTTCGATAAGTTTCACGTTCTTCAGTCAGAATATCATTGGTACATAATGTATCGTGAAAATTCAATAATTGTATTAATCTTTAGGTCAGCTTTGTTATGCGAAATGGAACAAAGACTGAAGGAATTAAATCCAGAAACTTCTGGAGCAATCGCCTTACGACAGTCTCTCCCTTGATCGAATATACTCGTGTATTATTAATTATTTGTAATACAGATGATAGAATTTGACTAAGTATTGTGTTTATAAAGTATATTTGTTAATAAACTGAATTTATTAAAAACGCTTCTTCTAATTCTATTTTATTCTAACCAAAAATTAAATGCACTTGTTGAAAATTTCTTAAATTTTAAATCTTTATTGTGTAGACATATCAACTGTCTGTTTCAATTTTCTTATCTTCTAACTTGTCAACTATTTGAAATCCATCGATCCGTATAACCTGTACTTCTTTCGTTTCTTGTGCTTTCTTTATGAATTTATCTCCTGAGAAAATTTGAAATTTGCTTAATAAAGTAATAATGCAAAAAAAATTAATATTTATGTATATATAAAGTTCAATTGTCCGTTTACGTACGTTTTTCCGTATTATTAGGGAAACTTTCCTCAATTGAATATAGAAAGACAAGTATCATTACCTGCCATGCACTGAATGCATATAGTGCGGCTAATTTCGTTCGGAAATTGAAAAGCTTATCATTTGTTAAATTGAACTTTTTTACCAAGTACTTCCACAACATCATTTTTAATAACTGCGATTAAACGTAAAAGTCCTGAAATTATTTAAAAATACAAATTTAATATTTAATTTCACATTTATTTACTTTGTTACGTAACAACATCTTGTAAAATAGATTTATATGCACCTTTCAATATTTACAAATATATTATTATCAACATATTCAATATTTAATTTTTCCTCGTGCTCCGCTTGTTGGAAGTTATTTAACTGTCATGTTAACCATTATGTGAGACAATAATTTGAATAATAAAATAGATCCTCTGTAAAATTACAAATAATATACAGAACAAAATATCGTAAGTAACAAATGAAACGAAAAATATCAATAACTGTGATCTGTCAGAAATTAAATGCTAAATGAACAATATTTATACAGACATCTTACACGTCAAAGAAAATATAAAAAAGGAAGTGAGTAGTCTAAATACGAAGATCCAACTACTAAGAGTTTATAAATTAATCCTCGTAATTAGTTGCCTTTTTCAATGAGACTTTAGTCAATTTATAGACACTGAAATGCTAGCGTCGCGTAGCGGCGAAACGATGGAAATAATCCTATTGCTGTTCTTGTCATACTCTATCGCTCTCCTTGTCTGTTGTGCAATGTAATTCTGTCCTTGTCGCACAGCGTTACTGTCCTTGTCTACGAATGTGCTGTCACCTGTCGGAGTCTTTCGAAACTAAAATCTATTACCGACTTCGATCGGCATAGTGCTGCCATCTATCGGATGTTTCCTATTTGACCTTTTAGTTCCATTTCAAAATAGAAGATCTTAGATGGCAGCATTTTCGTAGACAAAGAGAGCAACAGTGTGCGACAAAGACAGATATATGGTATGAAAAACAAGGATGGTCGATAGTTTGCGACAAGGACAGCAATAGGATCAATTCCATAATTTCACCGCTACGCGACGCTAGTGTTTCAGTGTCCATAAATCGACTAAATTTTCATTGACAAAAAGAACTACATAATTGAGGGGATTAATTTCGCAATTGTATCTTTGTATTTAGATTCCCAGCTTTCATCCTACGTTTCATTTGACATAAGGGTTTACAAATTTTTTTCAACAAATCGGAAACATGAATAATATGTAATTTTAAATAAAATATATTTGACGTTTGGATTAAAATTTTTCGAATATAGTTAAAAATATGCACAACAAATTTTGCAATTTTGGATACGAATCTTCGTCCAACTATTTATTTGTTAACAGTTGTTAGATATTCCACTATACATTATGTCATGTCTATTCTATTCTTAGTTAATGGCATTATTAATATCTTATTTATTATGTAATAAGTTGCATTATCGTTATCGAATCAGATAGAATCGAATTACGATCGAAGCGCAATTAAATCGATACTCTGCACATTAATTTCTTTTTTAAAATTTGCTCAAAATACCAATTGCCATAAAATCGACAAAATTATAATATTTCAATTTTATGACGATACGAAATATTTTCGTGCAACTTTATTGTCTCTTACGTTTTGTTTCAATAATTGCTTCTCGGTAAAAATCTCATGTTGAAATAGAATTTTAGGATGCAACGAAAATTACCAATTGATAATTATAGAAGTCAACAGTTCAAGAAGAGAGGAACTGTTCAAAATTTGTTATTTCATTGTTAGAAACGATTTTACAATTTCCATTCGCATATTCTTCGTTCCTCGTAGTCCTATTATCATACATATAAGATAGGCGTCGTGTTTGAAAATTGTAATTTTTAAATATCAAATATGCGTCGTTGTTTATTCGCAACAGCGCATAAACACACGAATACAAAACACAGCTTCTCATTGCTGATACATTACATGTATGTACGTGTTAACTACATCACGTTCGAGCGAAGTGGCAATTGCAAAATTACGTGTGCTTGTAACACGACCGAAGTAATCTTTGCTGAAACGATTAAAACGCAAAACGATGCCTATCGCGTGAAACAAGATTTTACGGGTACGTCAACCTTGAGGGTTTTTCCTGGTCGTACAGCACTGGTCCCTATCGGAAAGTGGATTGCGATTGGCCGCGCGAATCCCAGACTGGAATCAGACAGTGGAATGGGTTGTCTGGCAATCGAATAAAAGGGGAGGGAGGAGTGATTTCGCGCGTTGAACGGATACCGAATAATTTCGAAGAGATTTGCGAGTCTCGGCGTCGTCTCGATTAATCGGGCGAAGATTATTAAAACAGGCGAATCCGTCCATCAGAGCCTGACGAGATGTCCGTCATGGGAAAGGTGAGCAAATTAACATTCTAATGCATTCGGTCCGACATTGTAACACGGAGCCTCTTGCTTTTATTATCAACCCTCTATTTGCGTTCGAGTTGCGATCTCACCTTCGACGACTGTGCGACGATTCGTACGAAATACGCGTCCTTCCGATATGTTTTGCATCCGCTTGTTCGGATCATCCATTCTGCAGCGCCTTACACCGCGAGAAGGAAATTTTCTTGCTCTCTACATTTGCGCTACCGGCCTCGGATGAACTAATATATGCACACCTCCGTCAACGTGTCGTTCGAAGCTAGTAAACATCGCAATATTCATCTCGATTCCTTCTTTCATTTTTTTCAGCCGGTACTCTACTCCTATTGGCGGAGTTCCTGCTCGTGGAGAGTGCGAATCGGTGAGTAAAAGATATCGTGGGTGAACAAATTGCAATTTTTTTTTCTTTTTTTTTTTTATTCGAATAATATGTACTTTTTCATTCCTGTTAAAAGTATGAATTTTTCATATTTGCACGACTATGTAATCTATGTAGAGGCGCATCTTTTTGACAGCACTGAATTTAAAAGAAATCCCATACGACATAAAACCAGTTAGCTTGATAAAGAGCGGTGGAGAACAGCACTCTAATGAATTCCGCGAAATTAATCCAATGGAACAGGTGCCAGCACTTCATATTGACAATCACACGTTAATAGAATCGGTGAGTATACAGGCAGTTATGGATATTTCTTTGTTACGCAATGAAAATTTACATGTTATATAAGTTTTTTTTTCATTCCAGTTAAATATCTTGCAATACTTAGAAGAAACCAGACCACATCGGCCTTTAATGCCTGCAGATCCAGTGAAACGAGCAAGAGTCAGGGAAATTTGTGAGGTTATCGCCAGTGGTATTCAACCATTGCAAAATTTAGTTGTACTGATCTATGTTGGAGAGGAACGTAAAAAGGAATGGGCGCAACATTGGATTACTAGAGGCTTAACAGGTGTGTTAAGAGGAAAAGTATAACTTTAGCTGTACGTTAGGTCAGCATAGATGTAATCAAAAGTGTTATGTTTCAGCTGTAGAGAAATTATTGTCATCCAGTGCGGGGAAGTACTGTGTAGGTGATGAAATTACATTAGCAGACTGTTGTTTAATACCACAGATATTTAATGCAAGAAGGTTTCTTGTTGATCTACGACCTTTCCCAACAATTTTAAGGGTAGATCGCCACTTAGAGAATCATCCAGCATTCACTGCTGCTCATCCAAACAATCAGCCTGATTGCCCTCCAGAGGCAACCAAGTAGCAAGCAAGGCAGACCACCCTCTTCCTCTTCTAATTCGTTAGAAACAGGAAGGGAGGTGGTCAAATATATTGTAGTTTTGTAGTGGCAAAAGGTGAATGCAATTTCATTTAACAAAAAGAGTTATTAGAATATGTAATTATGTTGAAATGATAATAATATGCGTTCAAATATTTTAAAATTTGAATATGATCAATTCTTCATAATTGTGGATTGTGCATTAGCGAATTAAAATTTAGAGAAAGAAATACAACTATTTCTTAATCGCTTTTCTAAATTTTTTTTCCTTTTAAGTACAAGTATACACCTTTTGTCACTTGTGAACTACGTTTAGGTACTGAAATGGTAAACAGTGTGATGTAGGGTATCGAATTAAATGATAATTTTTAATTGATTGCAAAAGTGATTTTTTCGTGATACGGTATCTATTTCGGACGAAGAGACGCACTGTACCATTTCTGTACTTATTCAGAGGATAAGAATGTTGGCCTATTTTTAATTTTGTTATATTTTTTCATTGATTTTTATATATATATACAGAATCAAAATTAACTAAATTCGTCTTCGTGTAATACTTACAATATTACTTTGTAAAACGTACTGACCTATTATAAATAGGTTCTGTTGTCTGAAATCAAAAGTTTACTTTTTATACACTTACAATAATATAATTTTTCAGTTACTTTTAGCTTACTTAGGCTAAGGAGAAGTGTTGCTATTAAATAATATTAAATATACAACTTGAAATTCTGTATTGAGTATAAAGTAGCAGATTTAACATCGCAGGTACACATACTCGTACACACACTGAATAAACAGAAGAGGAAACGTGTAATAAGGGAATGCAATCTGCTCAAACTCCGTAATACTAATCGAGGAATGAAAAGTACAAATCAAATTCCTTTTTCTAAAGCTTCACCTTTGAGTGCATTTCATTTTTCTCTGTAAACTACTGTCAGCCCACATAAGTAAACATTTCCAAATACTAGATACGAGATAAATTTCGATTTTACATATTTTTTTAATGTTGAGAAAATAGGAAGGTGTGCTCGATTTTGATATGTCGCACGAACCCATGACGTGTCTATTATCATTAAGAATCATTCTCTGAGCATTCTATAAAAAAGAATTGTAACATAGAATCATTCTCTGAGCATTCTATAAAAAAGAATTGTACTCCATAGCATAGTTAAAACGTTTTTTTTTTTCTTTTTTATTATCAATTCTCGTCAGATTGATAGAAAACGAGCTAGAGAAGTGTAGCTAGAGATTTTCTAGGATATTTTTACGTTTCAATATTGAGCACACTTTGAAACTTTACAGTATATTTTTTGCGAAGAATAATCTTTATATAGAGATACATTTTTTATTGTATCACCTATATTATATAACTTCCATATATTTTGTAGTTTTATACATGAACGATACGTTTATTGTGCAACAATGGTCACAGACGTCAACAGACGAAACAAAATTGCGTGGCAAATTTTATCCAAATGACATCCGGCATTGTTCCTTATTGCCGGGTTCCTTTTTACCGTTATTTTCTACGTAAGGCGAAGTACCACTTGGACTTGTAACAAAAATCGTACGATAGAAAATTGGAAGTTCGCAAGTTTTTTAGGGAATACTGTAATTATGTAAGGACGAAGGGGACATTTGTTTGCATGCTTTTCCCATGCAATCGTCTAACTATACGCATAGTTAGAGATAGTTCGTAATTTATATTTTAACATAAGGGGCGGGAGGGGGAAGGAGGAAAACGGAGAACGTACACTTTATATTTAGACGTGTGCGTTATGCAAGCATGTGATTAGATAATAATATATATGTATATAATTTTTATACAACACAAATTCGACTGTTGCATGCAGAGAACAGTTTCTCCAGTCGTATCTTCGAGATGGCTGCTCGTATCATTTTAACGAATAAAATATCGCATGTCTTATATATCATAGAGTTCGTCGGGCACGCATAACGAAAGGAAATGCAAACAAGTGGCGACCTTCCAGCGTAATCGCACAAAAAGGAAAAAAAAGCTCTTATTTTTCTGTCGATCACTCTCGAGGCGTGTGTCGATCATTGCGACGTAAGATGGCGATGAACATTAAAACGATCGTGATCGTGACCGCGAGGAGCAGAATCCAACTTTCCTTTGTAACTCTCGTGATACTCTTGTTACTCTTGTAATAATAAAATATCGGGGCAAGAGAAATGGACAATTTTTGTGTGAAAAAACGTGCGCTTCCGGAGAAGGAAAAGAGAAAAGACCACCGAGGTCTATAAAGGAGTAAACGAGGGAAATTTACGAAGTCAGTGTACAAATATCATCGCGTCGAACGATGATCCACTCGTGTTCGATGCGATAGGAATGAATTCTCCATTTCTCTGGGGAGGCTGGCTCTTTTTCTTTTTTTCTTTCAACGAGAGACCGATATAACTATACTTTTAGCGTACACCAGGCTTTTTCACTATTAGCTACGTTCGCAAACACGTGAGAGCTCGAAGCAGGAAAGTACGTAATGATAATGATAATATCATTGTTACGATTACGATTGTAATATATTAACAATGATAACGAATCAGCGAACGTTCGTTTTAACAGACAAATTAACAAAGAAAAGCATAGAATCGCTGTATAGTCGGATGAACTAAGGGCAATAATGGTTTAACCAATTTTAGAAGTTCATTTCACCGATGATGGTCCTAAGTAGAATTTAGTTAGATAGTGCCGCGTACACATTTGTAAAAGGATGCGTGAGCAAACTTTGTAGAAGGAGCAAATGCGAGTATGTATTATAATAACGAATGCAAACGATACTTATAATGAAAACTTAAACGAAAGAAAAACAAAAAAATAAAAAAATACAAAAAAAAAAAACGAACCACCGGTATGATACGCATAGATATTTTGTAAGTGAAAATGAATTATGTACGTTCACTGCTTATGAGGAATAATAAATTCTGTGTCATAGTGTATGTATATTAATTTGTAGTTGCGAAGCTAAGAAAAAAAAAAAAAAAAAAACGCTGTCAACAAGCTATAAATACATTTGTGAATGTGCACTTATCATTCGAATAAAAGATACGTTTTGACTGTAACGATATCATGGTTGATTTATTGACGAAAATGTCGCGCTCTAGGACAGAAACGAGAAGACGGGAAAAAAAGAACAGAAATGAAGGAACAAGGAAGATACGAACGTAAAGAAAAACGGAGAAAAAGAAACTGGAATACGCAACTTACCCGGCGTAGGAGGAGCGTTTCGCAGCGCGAATTGCTCCAAACGGAATCGGTGGACGGAAATTTAAAACTGAAACTAAAATTTTTAGCAAGACGACCGAGCAACAAACAAAGCTCTGAAGCTTTCGTGAAAAACGTACGATCCTCTTCGGAAAGGTATCGCCGACGACCGACGATCGCTTTTCCTCTCCTTTTCCTTCTCGAGCAGCGACATGAACGCTCTCTGTACCCTCCTCTCTCTGAACTAGATTAATTCGCTTTCGTTTTCAATATCTTTATTACAAATCAATCGTGTAAAAAAATACATTCCCTTATCTATAACTGACTAGTCAGAACAGCATATTTCTCTCTCTCTCTCTCTCTCTCTCTCTCTCTCTCTCTCTTGTACGACGCTGACGAAAATGCAAGAGGGACCCCGACGACCTCTGGATCCCCCCTGGTACCGTATATATATATGTATATCCGGGTGATATGCTATTGCGAACGTGAGATACATTTTAACAAGAACAACAGCAGCAACAAAGTTCGCGATAGAACCGACACACAACTATAGACTGAGTATAATATAATAGAGCGACGGCGAAACGTTAAATATTAATTCCAATGTTAATCTTTAATCATTATGCGCTCCCTCGTCGTTCGACACACGATATGCTTTGAAAAAAATACTGTCCCCTATAGAATTGCTCGCACGATCCTCCAGTTTAACGCCAACATCCGAGAGTCTTCGTGACGAAGCAACACGAGAGAACTCAAACCAGAGGCAAATCACAGACGTATGTAGACGTCAACTTCAGATCGCATACAAACGCATTTGTTTTCCTGTTCTCTCGTTCGTGTATATTATATTGTATTGTACATACAAAAGAACTTACAGACTAGTCGGAACCGCTTAGCTAGATCGCGCGTGAATCGTTAATTGTACATTGTATATCGTATATTTACAGGTACGCATGCTACCGCCTAACGAAGAGTGTGCTTCGCCTCCCTCGGTCTAGCTTTCTATCAAAATTTGGAAGGCTTTGTCGTGAGTCGAGTGGAACGAGACCGTGCCCCGGGTGGCGCATTATGCGAACGCGATTCATTTACGGAACCTTCCTAATTTCGACAAAATTACAATTGCGCAGGATGTTCGATTGTGGGTGTCGTTGTTGTCGGAAAAACGAACGACAGAGAGATAAAGAGAAAAAGAGAAAAAAGACAAAACACACGTTCCATCCGGGGAGGAACGGTGAGAAATTCCTCCGCGATGCATAACACGGGGCGGGGAAAAAGTCTTGGATGAATGAAAGAAAGAATAAAGAAGAAAAGAAGAAGAAGAAAAGAGAAGAGAGAATGCGTATGACAATCATACAGCGACACTGAATGGACAAATGGATGGATCGATGGACTAGATGGATGGAAACGTGTGTGGCCAGGTCATGAAATGAAGAACAACAGAATGCATTTAATGAGCGATTGTTTATTATGCTCTTATGGTCACTTGTCATACAGGTAACGATGCTTTCTCATGAGTGAAAATAGTTAATATATTATGTTTAATATTTATAATTATTTAACATTGAATGGAATAACTCTGATGATGAAAGAATAACAATTTATGGATGTAAATAAATGTGGTTAGAGTGTAAAGTAATTATTTTTAGAGTAAATTCAAATGCTGTGAACTAATTATATATATACATATATAAAATATATATATATATGTATATATAGTATAATATATACTTCATCAATAACAATCATAGTGGTGCCCAAGAGGTCACGGTTTCGGGTATACCCTTTCGTAAACTTTTCGTAACAAGCAAAAATTATTAAATAAAAAAAAACGTAATTATCTTCGCGTTATCGATAAAAAAAAAAAACAAAGACTTTTATTTTCTTTCTCGTATCCAGGCGTTTAAGCCGTGTGATGCATGCTCGCTCGTCGTCGCGTTTAATCGATCCGTACATCTCGGATTCATTTTGATTTCCCCGATTTGTTGTTTGAATTTTGGCTCGAATAACAACTATGCCTTTCCATCGTTTTTCTTTAAAACGTTTAGTCTTCTGAATCAAACCGAGCGAGTTCTCGCCACGTCGATAGAGAAAACACGAGAAACATTTTCCTCTATCGATCCGAGTCGAGGACAGCTCGGCACAATTAAACACGGAATTTTATTTTCCTTCTGAATTCGCTACTTATCGGTCTAACAAAAGTCGAAACAATTCGAGATCGCTTCTCGTTTTTTTTTCTTTTTTTTTTTTTTTTTTTTTTTT